GGTGCCGCCGCCGCGGTGCGGTGCGGTGCGGTGCGGTGCGGTGGGGCGGGCCTGCCCGCGGGGGCCACGGATCACGGGCGGGGGGTGGGGAGCGGGATCAGTCCCCTCCCACTCGTGTCCCGGGGGACGGGGCACCTGGGAATACCTGGTCGTGGGGATGAATGGGGGGAGCTGATGGGAACGGCTCAACTGGAAACACGTGGGGCTGAGCTGATGCCATGGGGGGGCTGATGCCCCGCGTGGGCAGGGACCCGAGCCCCTGGCAATAAAGGGAGAGGGGGCAGCCGGGGAAGGGACGTCCCGGAGGTGAAGGCGCCTGCACAGGACTGGCCTGGGCTGACGGAGCTGTGCAGCCGGCCCAGGGGTCTGCAGGGACCAGCCAGCGCAAGGGGGCACATGCTTGCTCCCACGCATCCTTCCTGCATGGTCTGATCGGCTCTGGGACGCTGCCCCTGCCGCCCCTGCCCCAGCCTGGTCCTGTTCACTCGCCTTCCCAGGCAGAGGCAGATCTGCGGGTCGGACCCCTTGGCCAGAAGCAGCCCATCCCGTCCCTCCTTCCCTCCCTCCCTCCCTCCCAGGCGCTGTCAGTTTGAGGGCAGATGTCTCAAGCTCCTGGCTGGTCAGAGGAAAGGAGGGTGGGATGGGATCCTCCTCCTATATAGGGCTTGAGCTGAGCAGTGGTGATGGGATCCACTGGGTCACATCAGACAAGCAGCTCCCTGGCACCTAGGACTGCACCTTCTCACTCAAGTGGGACTGGGAGGTAGGAGTGTGGCCCCACCTTGAGCTGCTGGTTTACCTCGGGGAAGCCCAGGCTGTGCTTGGACGTGGTCCTCTCCTGGCATGAACTGCCTCTGCTTCCTCACTGGACACTGTTTAGGAACAGAATAGCAACAATCGAAGCAACTTTTGGGTGAGATCTCTAGCCTGTGCAGGTTATAGGCATTTCTGGATTGCTTCCTTCCCCTTCCACTGGAGAGCTGCCTTATATGATGGGAGTACTAGGATCTATTATATACCCTTCCACATCTAGGTCTCCCTCACTTGGCTTGATGCAAACTCATACCTTGGGCAGAGAATCTGTATTAAAAAAAAAAACCCCAAGCCAACAAACCCAAAACCTGAGCCAGCTCCAAATCAAAAACCTTCCAACAACCTCATTTTACCACCTTAAGAACTTGTGGTGCAAATTTGTAAGCTAATGGCAATGTGTAATTATTTGCTTTGTTGGATGTTGTACATGGATTGTTGTATGTCCTGGGGGCATAGAGCATTTAAAGCAGGGAGTTTACAAGAGTGAGGAATTCAGACAGTGTTTAGAGAGTGAGAGTTTTAGGAGGAGAACAGAGTGTGATTACTGTAAACCTGATCTACCTTGATTTTTTTTTTTTTTTTTTTCCCCCCCCCCCCCCTAAAAAAATACGATGGGGGAGAGGGTGTTTTTTTTAAACCCTATTTTCCTTTATTTTTTTTTTTTTTCCCCCCCCCCCCCCTAAAAAAATACGATGGGGGAGAGGGTGTTTTTTTTTTTTTTTTTTTCCCTCCTCCCCCTTCACAAATACTATAGCGGCTAAGGAGTCTGTATGACTTCATGCGGTTTTGCTTTAGGACCCACCTTTGATGCAAAAGCGGTTCTTGAAAGTTAAGGAAAATGAATTGCTGCCGAGGGGGGGTGGGGGGAATAAAAGTCTACGCTGAAGAAAGTGTACAAAGCCGTAGCCACTGCGTTCAAGGCGACGAAGCTATAAGGCAAAGCTTTCTGTACCGTGGGTGGGACGGAAACATTCCTCTTTTTTTTTCTTCCCCAAGCTCCTCCACAAATTTTTAACCTGAAGTCTTGTTTTATGGCCACTCGGTAGTTTTTGTTTGTCTTCCAGACTGGTTTCAGTACAGAATACCAAAGAAATATGCATTTAAGTGTAAACTTAGAAGAGCTCACTGGCCTCTGTGGGTTCTTGATTTATATCAGGCAGGAGCAAAAGACTAGGGGTAGAGCAAAGTTTTTACATGCTGAAGGCCAAGGAATGAATTATAAATACTTAGCCGCTTTATTTGCTGGTTCTAATTTTGTCTGCTCCACTGGCATTAAAAAAAAAAAATGCAAAATTAAGTCTGTAAAATTTTGAGGGTTTTGGGGGAAAGTTCCTTATTTTTCTTTTCTTTTTTTTTCTTTCCCCCTCCCCAGGTTTGAAAGAACAGGAATCTGTATGGCACGCAAGGATCGGGCTTTCAAAATGGAATTCCGGTTTGCCCTCCTTTTCGTAGGGATAATTGCCTTTTCTGACTCGGCGAGAGGTAAGGCGCACACGCTTTATACAGCCTTGGGGATGGTTTGTGCTTTGCTCCTTTCCAGGTTCTGCAAACACGCTATATTTCCTTTTAAAGGCCATATAATGAAGTTTCTTTCAGCATAGGCGCTCCCTCCACCCTTAGTGCATGGACGCATGCCCACAAGCACGCACGCTGCGATTTGTCAGTGTATACCGTGGGTGTCGTGATACTGGATGGGGTTGCTGTCACTTTGTTGGCAAGGTCTGTGGTTCCAGGTGAGCTCTCTGGGGCTTTCCTCTTTGCTGTTGTTGTTTGTGTGTAAAAATACACAGTTGGCTTCCAGGTTTCGGGGTAAGGTTAAAGGAAGACAATTGCATTCCTTTGTGGATCAGGAACGCCTCTCCCCACGGTAATCCCTCCACACTCTGCCCTGTGTATTCCCAATAGCAAACTAAACAAACAAATCCATTAACTTCCCAAGTGACAGACAAATGACAGTTCTCAACAGCTAGTGCACATTTTAACACTGGGTCTCCAGCAGTTGATCAGATTTCAATAAACAGGTTACCCTTCCAGGGGTAGACTGAAAAACAGTGACCTTGGATTGAAGGGGGGAGAGGTTTTTTAGAAGAAGATGATTTAACACAAGCTGAAGGAATGCCTCTTCTACTTCAGCAGTAGCTTACAGCGTGCTTTGCAGGGCTATCGAGTTAGCCTTGGAAAATCTGAACCCCTCCTTCAACCTAACTGGTTCCCGACTGGCTGCAAAGCTGCCTTGTTCCCCGAGTATGGTTATATGATTTCAGGATGTCGAGTTTACAGGTGGGACAAATGGTGCCGAAATTGCACAAATCGCTGGAAGACATTTAGCTCATCCACCCAAGAATATGAATTGCTTAGTTTAAATATTTAATCTTGCAGTTTAGTTCTGGTAGCCATAACTTGCCAAAAGCATATGTGGGATGGAGGGGAGGGAGCATTACTAGAGAAACTCAGGACTTGGTTAATGGATTGCTTTTTTTTTGGCATTGGCTCTCAAGCAAATACTTTATGGAGGCAGAAGCACTGTAAAATGATT